TGTGGTTTTCAAATTAACACAATCTCATGCAGAAGTCAGAGCTGTGTTTTTGTAGAGATATTGAATTTGATGGTAACTTCTTTGAGCAGAACAAGAACTCATGCACCTCCTTGGGAGAAGCATTGCATGCCTGTAAAACAGTGTCATAAGAAACGGGGGGAGGGGGAGGAAGTAATCACAGCTTTTTGGATGTCAGAAAGCATAAGAAAACAGCACTGATGTGATCTGATCGACTAAGAAGAAACTTAAAAAGATGTAATACAAAAAATCTGGAATGTAGACTTTATAACAGCGTTTTACACCCATAAACCAAGTCCTTAGGTTTCTTTTTTTCTCATCAAAGGAAAGGACGGTTATGGGGGAGGAAGATGAGAGAGGAAGAGGGTGTTTCTAAATTCCCAGTAGTGTTTATCCATAAGTAGATGCTACCAAGAAGTTACCGATCTGTCAAGGCCATGATTTAAGAACAATCCATTTCAGTGCTTTGCATAAAATAATCTACACATGAGGAATTCACATTTCCAGCTGTTAGTTATAATGAGTGAGAGACAAAACTGTATTTAAATCAAACAGCACCATCTAGCAGGCCCCCCATAACTTCACTTAAGAGGGCAGTTGCTACTTGGCAATAGGTCAGCTTGGCAGGCTTGCCCTGAAAATTATTAAGCATTTTCATATCACATGAAATATTATGTGCTTTATGGCAGCAGGAATCCAGGAGAAAAACCAGCTACAATGAAACAAGACTGAAAACAGATTAAAGTTTCAGCCCTAGCATGAGAACAGTGGTGCGTGTGGCTTGTATTGGGTATTTTTTGTGAAGCAGAATTAAAAGAACATGATCTTCATCTGATCCAACAAACAGCAGCCCTTTAGATTTGTCTTACCTAGTCCCACCGAGCAATTCTATTGTGCCCTTCAAGAACTTACCAAGAGTATTGACAAACACCAGCAACTATGCAGAACAAGAAAATGGTTTAACTGTGCAATTTTGCTATACCAAACAAACAATGCTGCCACTAGCCACTTAAGCAATTATTTTTGAAATTAGTCCTACGCCGGGAGTAAGAAGTGCCACTAGTTGATTAGATTTTAGTGCCCAAGTTGTGTCTCCCACTCCATCTCAGCAATTAACGTTTCATGTCAGTGCTGCCTCTGTCTTCCTCCACCTCCCCATGGCAAAGTTACATGTGAAATTCCCAAACATAACACTTTGAATTTCCCCCAGTATCTCCCTCTCCTGCAGCAAGAGAGATGCCTGGCCTGCTGCTGTTCCAGGAAGCATGCCTGCCAGTCTCTGGAATTAGGAAGTCCCTAAAATACTGTAGAAGAAAAAAAAAAAAAAACCCAACCCAAAAAAAACAAACCAAAAAAAACCCCAAAAACCCCCAACTTTTAGGTGAAGGTTCATGACAAACTGCCTGAAGGGAAACTCATCAGCCGTGCCCGGAGTATCGTGTCTGGTGCTAAGTGCAATTTTGGAGCAATAACGCGATTTTTTGGAGCGAATGGTTGCGAACCTGGTTTCTGCCCGGAGGTCTCCATCCCCGGACCCCCTCAGCAGCCTCACCCCGACCTTCCCCAGCCTGAAGCCACCTCCTCCCCCTCACCCTCACTCGGGCTTTTCCCTCCCCTTCACCACCGCCGCCTCCTCCCCGGCCTCAGTCACGCCAAGAAGCACTACAGACAACTTAAAGAGACGCCGGCCATTCCCCCCACCCCGCAGAAAAAAAAAAAAACCCTGGTTTTCCTCCCCAATTCCTGCCCCGGGGATGGTGGGATCTGCCCGCTGCATCCCGCCGGGCAGCACCGACCGGGGGGAGGGGGGGGAGTCCCGCTGGGTGTCCCCCCCGGCTCCCCAGAGCCCTGCCTTTACTCGGGGAGGCGGAAAAAAAAAATAAAAGAAGAAAAACATAAGAAGAAAAAAAAAATAATAATAAAGGAGCCCTCGCGCGGTTCAGCTGGAGATTTTATTCGAGGGGAAAATAAGAGAAAAAAAATAAAAAAAGTAGTTTTGGCAGGCTGTTTCGGCCCCAGCCGGGTTCAGGCCACGGGGGTGCGAGGGAGCCCCGCCGCACACCCGCACCCCCGATACAGCCCAACGGCAAAGGCGGGGATGGGGGCGCGGGGGGTGCGTGTACCCCCCCCGCAGCACCTTTGTCTGTCGGGGCGGGAGCCGGGGGCGCGGTGTCCCCCCCCAACCCATGTCGCTC